GAAGGTTAGAAAAATCTGCCGGAGGTGATGGTCCCAAATGGATTAAAAGGGTGAGGTGTGGGTTGAAGCCACCACCGTCCAGTCTGAGCACCAGCAGGGAGTAGAGACACAGAAACACCTTCCCCAGAGGCCCTGCCCACCCCCCTCCACCCCCCGCCATCAAAGACCCGGCTAAACAGCGCTCAGGTAATCAAAGCCATAATGCCTGGATAGAAAACTTTCAGGTTAATGTCAGCTCAAGCCTACGGTGATCATTTTTCCTGTGTCAAAACGGCACTTAATTTTCTCATTGTAAAGCCACAGACTAAGAGGAGGGGGACCCCCTATAAATCGGTTTTCCTTCCTCCATCTCTTCTCTTCAGAGCAACTGCGTGACCTTCCTGCCGCCTCCTGGAAACCTCTGTCCCCCACAGTGCTGGCATTGGCTATCCAGGACCTCCTGTGTCTGCCCCCAAATCTGACTGTGGGTGTCTGGTCAGCAATGAGATGGCAGAGTCTTGCAGGGGGCGCACCCCAGGAGGGGCGGCAGGACTGACTGGGGCTAGCGGAGGCCTGCAAAACACCAAGGCGGAGCACAGCTCTGGTGCAGGATGGGTTCTGACTCTGCCCCATCGCTGACCCTTCCTGAAATCTGGGACAAATCCCATGCTCAAAACCGACGTCCACCACACAGTAAGTGCTCAAAAATGAACCATGGAGCCCTCCAGCCAGACACGCAGTGACCCGGAGTGTCACGCGGGCCAGAAACAGCTCACACCTGCAGGCCCCCTTCAGGGGTGATTAATGTAAAAACAGTTGGGGTTGACCCCCAGCCTTCACGCTGGTTACCTGTTATTTTTCAGATATGGAAGCTCCCCTTCTCTCAGACCTTCAGGGTGCTGGGGCGCAACTGTCTCCCCACCAGCCTGTGGGCGGGTCCTCACTGTGCCTCCCGAGAAGCTTCAGACAAGGCCTGGTACGAGCAGGCAGGGAACAGAGCCAGCTCTCCCCCAGGGAGGCAAGCTCAACTGTCATAAGTGGGATGCCACTGAGATCTAGTGGGTAGTCAGCGCTGCTGCTACAGTGCCCAGGCTGATGCCGCGCATGTGAAATGCTCGCAGCACCACTGTCAGGAAACCCTGGTCTAGAGAATTAAAGCTCAGGCTAGTCTAAGACGTTCCACCAAAGACCTTACCTTAAATCGAGTCTCTCAGGCCTCTAAGCCAGACACACTCAGGAGCCCTGAAAAGTCAAGTACTCGGTGCCTATTGCGGTAGCAATAGTCAACATCAGTGAATGACCAAAGATCAACAATGGTTTTTAACCAGCGGAAGTGGGGGGATTCTCAAGCTGCCAAGAGAACCAGCTCAAATCAGCCCTCTCCACAATGAAGCCCCACGGTAGATGAACTGGCCATGGCACACGATGGCAGGAAGACCCGCTCCCAGCCCAGGCACCGGCAGGTGGCTCGGCGAGAGGCCCATCTTCCAGAGCTAGTTCAGCCCGCGTCTGCCTTCGTTTGGGAAAAACAGACAAGAATCCCGGAAGCTGACCTGCTCCCCCAGGAACACAGGGTATGTGCTCCCCTCTACTTGCTGATCCCCGCAGTTATCTTAGCCCCCAGCCCTTTGCCACACAGACTCTCTACTCTACCCTGGGTAGCTCAGTTGAGGGTGAAAAGGAAATCATCTCCTAACAGGTGCCTCTAGCAGGCAACAGCCTCCCCAGCCCAAGCACACACACACTGATGCGTGCATGAGCACGTTTGCACACACACACATACACACACACACACGCCAGCATCATCACAATCGAGACTTCAGCGGGGCCACTCCCTGGCTTAGCTGGGCCTGAGCACACAGATGACTCCCTAGCTTAGCTGGGCTGCTCATTCCTCTCAGGCCATTGCAGCCACCAAGAGGAACATGACAGTGGCCCTGACGACCATCAGAGGGAGCCTGGGTAATCCCTCCCCTCCCTCACAAAAGCCCTCTCTCCCCACGATGCCCAACCAGGCACCACACCAGCAGGCGAGAGGAATTGTGGGCACACACCCCCCCACCCGGCGATCCAGCCCCTCCCTGCCCCTGCGTGACCAGCCAGGAATGGGCAGGGCAGGTGGGGTGGCACAGAGAAAGCCCCCCCCACTGGGCTCACCAGCTCACCCCGCCCCGCAGAGAGGAGTCTCCCCACCAGGCAAACCAGCACCCAGCCTCACACCCTGAGGTGGGGCAGCCACCTGCCCCCAGGGCGACTGAATCTAAGGCCTCACCTGGAGACAGGTCAAATCGAAGCTAAGCACTCACCTGCTCTGGTCCTGGCAGAGGTGTTGCAGGGACTTCCGTCCTCAACATGGACTAAAGTTGACCTGCAGATAACTCCCTTCTGTTTTTAAACTTGTATCAAGTCTCACTTTAAATAATGCTGAGAACAAAATGCAGGCTGATATTTCAGCTTACTTAAAGAGCTTATTAAAGACACTAAATCCAAAGATGTTAAAAAGCTATAATTGTCCTCATTCAAACTGGAAAAATAAATCTATTTGCTTTCTTCTTTTATGATCTTCTTCAAAAAAATAAATAAGTTCATCTATATTCTCATGAGCATCATCGCTGTCTTTTTTCCCCTTCCATTCACGGCACTTTAAAAACACCTGTGCCATTCACAGCCAACTTTCAAGCAAAAGGCAACCACATTTGGGGAAGGCGGTTTAACTCTGATTTCCTTATGCCAGAGAGAAGCTTGTCTTGCTCAAAAAGTAAAATGGAGTTCAGAGTTCATTTGAATGGGCTCGTGGGTTTTATAGGTCTGAGATGATGGAAATTTCTCTGGTTACCTAAGGCAGAGTAGACAACCTCATCGGTCAGCTTTTTGGGGCTCAGCGGACAATGATTCCACATCTCAGCACTGCCTTCAGCACCCCATGGGCAAGTGTGTGGTGAGTTGGGCTGCACATCCTGGCACTTCCCTGTCCTCTCCTGTAATGGGGGTCACTGGCCTCAGGCTTGGACCAGAGTAGCGTGACTGTCACTCCCTGCCCACCCCAAGTCTTCCATGAAGACAGCCCTAGCCAGCAGTTAACTTGCTGAGTTGTGAGGATCTCAAGCCTGCTCAGAAGCACTCCAGGCACAGAAGGAGATGAGTTTTCAGAGCAGTGGTCCAAGAGAATGCAAATTTATTGAAAGCACTTTCTTCAGGTTTTCCATAATTACCATTTCTGTCTCCAGGAACTGTTTCCCCCAACCTAGTTTAAGGTGAAAGCATTTTAGAGACTTTCTCTGTAGATGACATATGAGGTACTAACCTTTTTTCATGTGCCCAGATGTTAAGTTCATTTTCAACACATTTATGCAAATTTCATTTGAACAGTAAATCAAAAGAAATCTTAAATCATTGTACACTATTTAAAAATCCACACTAAATCCAGTTTATTTGCAGAGATATTAACATAAAGTCACTGGAGGTAGGAAGCAGATGTCACAATCCCTTCTTCCATGCAATGGCCCCAGAGAGACCAGGGGTCCCAGACATTCAGCAGCTCCAACTATCTGTCTGGGCACAACTGGGCTCAAGCTTTACCGGATTCAGAAAATTCTGGAAGTCAACGCCTTCTAAAAGTTTTCCAAACTTTGGTAAAACACGGGTCCCTCCATCCAAGAGGCTGTCATCCATGTCAGTGCCTGGACCAGACACCACCAAGTTCAAAGGCAGGCCCCGTGGTGGTCAGACTTCAGGCGGCTGGTTCCCTCCTCACTGGGGGGAAAGTTAATTCCTAGGGCTCTTCTGGCCTGCATTTGTCAAAGCGCTGGACGTCAGCGCTATCATTACCAAGCAAATCAGCCAGGCGGTTAATGGTGGAATCAGGAGACATTTGCACTCTGCTATCAGAATGACATCATAACTAAAGCAGCCTTTAGCCAAAGCCTTAGGCTTACCCCAGGCAGAGGCCAGAGGACTGCCAGGGCACCCCCTGCGACTCCCCAGGCAGAAAGGAGTACCCTGCCCCTTCCAGGCCAGGAGTGGGCCCAGCCCCCAGCAAGTTCCCAGGCAAACAAGAACTCCTTTTTTTTCCCCAAGCAAATTGACTTTCCCCCCAGGATCTGAAGACTGTAAATAATAATGTATTATGTATCTTTAATAAAATTTGAGATAGTATAAAGCCACTTTCCTCGACATGCAAGGGTTGATATTTTATGAACACAGTTACATTTTTGGCTATAGAATTTATGGCATTTCCAACAGAATTGTCAATCTCTCCACGATCCTGTCTTTAGCAAAGAAGCGCTGCACTCCTTCCAGCAACAGAAATAAACGATGCTGGGGAAATGAGGGGAAGGAGGCAGAAGCTCTGCCTGCTCTTATTTCGGTTGCTTTTCTTTCTTTTTAAGGCACAGCCACTGATCTCTTTCTCTCTCTCTCTCTCTCTC